CCAGAAACGTTTAACAAAATGTGCAGGAACTAGCTGAAAGATAAGTCTCTGAACATTCAGCCACATGTTCTATATTTAATTTCATGCTGTATGAATGAAGTAATGTGGTAAATATTTGGTCTCTTAGTAAACAGATACTTTTAAAGTTGATCCACATCAGATTCTTAGATTACAGGAAAGTATTCTAGAAAAGCCATCACTCCAAATCCTTACAGGCAGTTAAGCCATTGGCACCAGGACTCAGAGAAATGTCTGAACATGTGCTTTGACCACCTAATTCCAGACCTCTGTGTCAGGGAGATGACTGCAAGCCCTGGGCTTGGGTCTGAGGAAAGGTACTGGAGAGAGTATTGTAGCCAGCTATCAGATCACTGGTGGTAGAGATGGGAAGCAGTTATGTCATTTCTATTAGTGGTGGTTGGAGTTGGACCCCCACCTCCGTGGATTCTGTGTTCCTGCTGCCCTGGAGCCTCCTCCTAAGGCTGTCATTAGGATTGCTGTTGGCAAAATTGCCTGGCCTTTCTCTTCCTGTTAGCATGAAAACATGGAGGCTACCTTACTTCTCATCACACCTCAGCCTGATCAAGTGTGTAGTACTTTATGATAAATAAGGTTCCATCCATGGGGTCACCTGTGCCTCTGTGTTAGCAAAGGTGATCTTTTGTCCATTAGCTTAGTCACTGCAAGGAGGTGGCAGGGTTGGAGCTGAGGAGCATCTGGGAGATGCTACATTGCCAAAGGAGGTCAATGGTGGACTGCATCCCCAGAGCTCAGCTGCTCCCTACCATGGAAGCTAGGAGAGTGTCCATCTTGTGGTCCAGCACAGTGTGTGCTTCCCATTCCTCCCTGGGAGGAGAACTGGGCCATTGGGTCTTGTTCTCCCAGGGTCTGAGCTGCAGGGATTTGCGGTGTGGGGCCACCTTCTCCTGTGGTATCAGTGCTTTTGTCACGTGGGAAGGATGGCGTCCCTTACCTTGGGCTGTGGCTTGCTGAGTGGTACAACTTCCCTGTAGAGAGCTAGTTCCCCGAGGTTGTCGGCGGGCACCTTGCCATCAGAACAGAAGCCTGCTGTCCCTCACACTGCTGACTACCCACAAAGCTTATTTCTGTATCTCTCTGCTCTGCTCAGGCCTCGCTTGACCTTCGGGGTGCTCACTGACCTCAGGCTTTTCTGAATTTGTGTGGCATTTTCCATTTTAATCTGCAGGTTCCTTCAGCTTACATTCACCGTGTGCAGGCTGCATTCTGTGGGATGGAGAGAAGGTTTTGATGAAGGACAGCTCCAGAGAGGCAGAGGCCACTTTAGGTCTGGTTCTTTCCTACTTCAATAATATTCATGAATTCCAGCAAGGTGGGGAAGCAAGACTAAGACACACTGACAAACCCAGGCCCCTCGAGGGAGAACGTGGACAGGGAATAATGGGGAAAACAAGACTAAGGAAGTCTGCCTTGTGAGGTTTAGAGTCATTGTGCATTTAGGGCTTATAGCTCACCTGGCCTGTGAGGCTGGTTGCTAAAGAAGCTGAACATTGTCCCACAGACACAAAATAGTTTGACATTTTCATTTTGAATGAAGATGCTGAATACAGTTTTATTTCAGAAGCCAGAAAACTTAGAGCAGAGACCAGCAAATAAATGGAGCTGTTTCCTGATCACTCCATGCTGACCCTGAGCCACCTACATCTAGAATGGGGACCACTCCTGGGGCTGCAGGGGAGGGAGGGGTGGCATCAGAGACTGATCCTGTGCTTTTTAATAGGAAAGGTTTGCAGTAACAGGAGAAATACCTAATGTCACCAGCATTTCCCGGGTGCATATTTGGGTCAGTGCTCTTCTACAGGTGTTGCTGCAATGCGAAGACCACTGGCTCGACCTGCCGTCCCCTGTCATGGAGGAGCACCTGAGTGTGTTGCCCCGGGTTGCAGAGCAGAAACCATGTGAGTGGAGGAGGAGCTCAGGCACCGACCCATGCTGCCATATTGTGCTCATGTGACCTGTGACATCAGGGCCCGCCCAGAGATCCAACCCCAGGGAGAAGACAGGCAGAGTATGGGGTGGGGGACCTCCAAGCCCTTTTCCATCTCTAGGTAAGGTTTTACTGTCTTTAATTGGTAATGATGACGAGACAGAAACTCCCAAAGATTGGTTCTTATTTGAAATTTCACCTCAGACAATTAATAAGCAGAAGTCCCATGGTTGACATTGCCAGGTGAATGAAGGAGGAGTCCGTGCGGTCTCTGTTCACTCTCCTGGTACAGTGACAGTGGACCCTGGGGATGCTGCTGCTTTCAGGTGGCAGTTGAGGACTGTGTGACCCACCGAGCTGCACAGGGGTTTGCACCTTCCTGAACAACATGGGCTGTGGTGTCTCTGCTGCTCTCTAGAACTGAGCCTTTACATGTTTGTACTGTGAATCATTCACAGGCATGTGATTTCAAAGTTGCTGCCGTGCCAACCTTTTTTTATATTTTTTGAGTCTAAAAAACACTTTGAAGTTTCAAAATGCAGTTTATGAAGTTTGATTTTTTAAAAGGAGCAGCAGGTAAATAGATGGTGTGTGGCTTGGATGAAAAGCCATATTTAGTGCCCTACATGATTCGACCTTCTCGAGTCCTGGGTGTTTGTGGATCCTGGCTGCCCTCTCCAGCCTTTGGCCAGCTCACCCCTAAGAGGGGTAAGTAGCTGCCCCTGTGAGGGCATTTGTAGGTCACTAGGCCCAGCCCACATACCTCTTTGTAGAGCTGCTGTGGTACAAGGAAGGTCTGCAGCACCAGCCCTAGGCCTCCGGGCTCAAAGCCCTCTAGCATGCACAGGCTCTCGGGGGTGTGGCCAGGCCTCACAGTTTTGGATGTCCTTCTCTGGCACAGTGCTTAGAAGGTAGTAGGTATCCCCAAAGTATTATCCGACCTCTCAAAGTGGTATGTCATTTTTGAGGGAGCCTCCGGTAGGAGATGGGGTATGGATGGAAGTAAGTGAATAGTCAGCTTGTGTGATGAAAAGCACCTCTGGGAGCCGTGTTAGGAAAGATTCTGAAGGAGGAAGGGCTGCAGAATTGTTGGCAGTGTCTGCCCTGGGCGGGACGAGGAGTGACGGGGAGCGATCAGACCTGTGTCTGATTCTCTTCTCTGCTTTGAGTTCAAGTGCAGGAGGTGGGTTGGACCGAAAGAGCTGGTATCTGCTGTGGTTTGACGTTGTTTCCCCCAGGGGCTCACGTACTGGAGACATGGTCCTTGGCATAGCCACGTGATAGGTGGTGGGGTGTGTACGAGGTGGGATCATGTGGGAGGAGATGTGGCATTGAGGGCTCTGCCCTTGGAAAAGACTAAGGTCATTCTCTTGGGACCCCCACCAGCCAAGGTGAGTTGTTATGAAAGTGTAAGCGTTAGCCCTGTATCACTCTTTGGCTTCCTGTGTCATCATGTGACCTCTGTCTCTTTCATATACTCTCTCCATAATGTCATCTGACAAGAAGTAACACAACCATGGGGACCTCCAATGGGCCCCTGATCCATGGAGCTGCCTGATCTTGGATTTTCCGCCTCCATAACTGTGAGCTAAATAAACCTCTTTATAAACTACCGAGCCTCAGGAATGTTGTTATAGCCATGGAAAGCAGACTAATACAATAAAGAACCATCAGAGGGAGAAATATGGCTGACCAGAAAACCCTACTCCTGCCTGTGTCCCAGCTCTTCTGACAGAGAATCCTGGATTCCGTACTGGGTATTTCAGTTAGCTGTTGCTACGTGAGCACCCCAAACTCAGTGGCCTAGCACCACAAGCCCTCCACTAGGAAAATCTCTGAGCCAGACACATCTGGGCTGGCGAAGCTGAGGCAGCCCTGCTCCGTGTGCCTCCCCACCCCTCCCCTCCCTCCTGGGGAGTCTTGGCCCCTCCATGGCAGAAAAGAGAGCAGCTGGGCGTGTGCAAGGTCTCTGGAGACACAGGCTCAGATCAGGCCTGCCCTGCCCTCTCTGTGTGATGTTGGTCCAAGCAAGTCCATGCCAAGGTCTGGGAGATAAGCTCCATCCTTCTGCAGGAGGGATTGCAGGGCTACGTGAACTGTGGTGTTGAGCTCTTATTGATGGCACTGATGATCCTTCTGGGCTCCGGGCCTGCCCAGCTAGGATGGTGACAGTTGGAAGCCCATGTGGGTTACCATGGCTGGCTGTCCCCTCACTGTCAGTGTTGGTTTTCACAGGCTTGTTGAGGTTAAGATTCTTGGATTGGCAGAGAAGTTTACTTCTTGGAATTTTCTTCTGTCATTGGTTAGTAAATGAATCAACCTTCACTGTGTAGCTACCAGATGAGAAGAACTTGCTACCTCCTGCGCTCATGGGGACGTAGGGCTGAGGAGGAGTCAGTCTCATGTACTGGGCGGCCATCTGGTGTCAGCAAGTGTGCAAAGAACCTGTAAACTCAACGGAGGCAGACAGTGCAGTGGGAGATGCTTCGTGGACTCTGATTGTTAGTTAGTTCCAGCACACATCTAAAGTGTGGAGGGATTTTAGAGCCAGTGGTGATGGAGGAAATGGACCCCATTTTCAAGGTTTGATCTTGAATGCAGAAAATAAAGTTGGTAAGTCGGAGTGTTCTGTGGCTTTGATCATGGCTGTAGTTTTGATGTGTAGGAAACAATGATAAATTGCCATCCTCCAAACTGAATTGTTTTTAAGTAATGTCTGCCAAGGCTTGAAGCCTCAGAGAGCTGGAGCTGTTTATCCATCCTCCGTGACATCACCAGACTCCTGCCCATGGGCTCTGGAGGGACACAGGGAGGACGACTCCTACAGCTTTACACTTGTGCACAAGGTGGTTTGTTCTCTGACACACCCGCCTAGAACGGACGCACCCATGGGTTCATCTCTCTTGCCAGCTGCCCCTGCACACCTGTCTCCCATGATGGCTGTTAGTGGCTTTGAAGAGGCTCATGATAGTCTCTTATGCCAGGAAGTGACACTGCCTTCTGCTTTTCCTGTGTGCTTGTGGTTTTAAAAATGAGGATACAGTCAGACCTGAACACAAACACCTTCGTTTCATGACCTGCTAAAAGAAGTGTCAAGTGTGATGCAAATTCTTACTCTGAGTGCACACAACTGCAGGCCACTGGAAGAACCGGAGGTTATCAGAAAAGGCCTGTTTTTCAGATTTCATCTTGGAGACCATTAATCCTAACGATCATGATATGATAATTCCTTCCACAAGAAGATAGCTAATTTGGTTAGACTCTGCTGGGATTCTGATCCTTATGGAACAGTCTGGAACAGCTGCCTGGGCCATCTGAGAAGTAGACCAGCTCTGCTCAGGGCTTCGTGCGCTGCCTGCTGCCCCCCAGGGTGTGCTCACTTCAGCTGACTCTGCTGGTTCTGATGGGAACACAACAGACAAGGCAGAGTACTTGGAGGTTAGTCTGTGGTCAGACCCCAGGGCCTGATTTGCAAGAGCAGGGAGGCACTACCTGGGAAGGATACATATAGAGTCGGCTCATCAGGAGGGGTATCTAGGCTGGCAGAGGGTGGAAAGGTGGAAGAGGGTGCCCAGGAGGAAAGCCGGAGCGGCCCTGGAGACGGGAGCAGGTGGGTGCTGGCATGGGACTGCTGGCTACCCTTAGTGTGGAGAAGTGGGCGAGGCTTTCCTTGGACTCGCATTTCACTTCTCAGGGGACAGATAGCTGTCCCTGTGTGCTTTGGAGGAGGAGCCAGGTGCCCTCCTTGCCATTCAGATGCTGGCCACAGTTGTCCACACCACGCTCATTCAACCTGCACTTCACAGGCGCCATGTGGAGTGAGAGCCGGCTTTCTGTCCACCTAGTGATGGGTCTGGCAGACAGGATGCTGCTAAGTCTTGGGGCTGGGCTGCTCCTGGGGCCGGGGGGGCGGGGGGGGGGCGGGAGCAGCAGCCTGGACTGGAGGAAGCCAGACTTCGGAGTAGCTTCTAATCAGAGACCTGGCTGAAGGTCAGTGCTTCTGGGTACTGATGGGGTGGCCAGCACCACGGAGATGGAAATGACCCCTCTGCCCTGGGCCCTGTGATGGCTCCAGGGTGACGAGGGCAAAGAAATGGTAGCTGATGGTGGGCTCGCCTTCTGCTACATGCACCCCAGAAAATTAGGGTTAAGGATTCTGTGACACTCAGGGCCAGAGCCGGCCCTGCCTGAGGCCTCAGGATGGCCTCGTATCAGAGGGGGATGAGGTGGCTGGAGGCTGAGCCAGGTCACTCTGGGTTCTGTCATCCAAGGACCTTTCCAGACATTCTTTCTGAATGTCCAGAGGTGAGCTCAAGTGCTAAATTCAGCTGCCTTTGAAATCATAAAACAGGGTCAACAAGCACTGGTGTCTTCCGCCAGCAAAGCAAGCCAAGGCACCATGCAGTCAGTGCCGGGTTCTGAGTCTGCAGCGCCTGAGTTCCACCCCAGCTCCACCCTCACCACTCTGGGCATCTGAAAACCAAGGCTGTGGGTGTGCTGTGCCCTGGGGTTCCTGTGAAAATTGCCTGAGTTACAGCTGTCCCTCAGTATCCCTGGGGGTGTCTCAGGATGTTCAAGTCCCTCCCATAAAATGATGCCACATCTTCCTGTGTACTGGAAGCCATCTGGAGTTCTTCTTCTGAGTGTAATGTGAGTGTTGTCTGCGCAGTTGTTACACTGTGTCATTTGTTTAGGGAATAATGTAAAAAGTGGTCTGTACGTATTCAGTGTGGACACAGCATTGTCCCAAGGTTTGGGGTCTGCAGCTGGTTGAATCTGTGGATGTGGCTGATATTTGGCTCAGGTAACAGAAGTGTCGAGTGGCTTGGCTGTTTTCCAAGGGTAGTCACCTCTCCCTTCAGTCTCATGCATGGAGCTTACTTGACAGGATATTGGGCTCTTTCCGAACTTTGTGCAAAGCCCAGGTATTCCACCTGCAGACCCCTGGACACACCACTCTGGGAGAATGCCCTGAGAAGGATCGTGTGGCACCCCTTGGTGCTGTGAGGTGGGGTTAAGGACTCCCAAGAGACCAGAGGTCTCATTTGTGCACCTGCCCCAGCTCTTCAGCCTTCCACCCCAAGTCATGTCTGCTCAGGTGTGCCACCCCACATGGCCCACTTAGACAGAGTGGGCCTGGGCCAGGTCATCATCCTGTAGGTTCCCAAGAAGTGTCCCAGTTTGCTGAGCACCTCACCTGCCATAGGTTTTGCACTATGAATGACCTTACAACAATAGAAAGTAAGCAGTTCGCTACCGGATCCTGGCTTTTCACTGACGTTCCTTCACAGCAGTGGTCTGGTCAGGTAGGTTTTCACCTTCCCGTTTTACAAAGGTGAAAAACTGAGCTTCAGAGACTTTAGGTGACTGGCCCTAGGCCACACTCATTTGTAGAGATATAGGTTCAAGGCCAAATGTGGACAATATGGTCAGCTGCCTCGGCTGCCTGTGGAACTGGAGCTAGGACCAAGCTAGGACCAGGTTTCCTGACTGCTGCTTGCTGTCACTTCTCCTAGTCCAGGCTAGTTCTCTGTCACCAGGCGGAGGTGGGCAGGCTAGAGCAGGCTTTCCAGCCATGGTGCTGGTGGGGAGAACACAATTTTAGTAAAAGTTGCCAGAAGATTTTCCTGTTGCCACATAGAAATATGGAAGTTTTTTCTGCTTACTGAGATCTGTTCATCCCTCTTCTGAGGGCCTTGTCCCTGAGGGACTCAGAGACCAGCAACTTCAGCAGTTGCAGTGGTCAGGAATAGTATTTGCAGCTTGCGGGGGACTCCTGCACGTTAGCTGCTCCTGGCATCCTCCCCGGCACACACCCGCATGTCTTCAGACAGGTCTCAGCGCCTCTGTAAGTTGACAGGGCTCTGGGGAAGCCCGCGGCTCTGGCAGCATTAGCCTCAGCAGACTGCACTTCTTCTCAAGTTAGCTTCCTCTCTCTAATGGTGCTGTTTACTCCAACTCTGCTGAGTCCAGTTCCTCTGGGACTTGAGAGCCCCCGGCACCCCCAGGGAGCCACCAACTGCCAGCAGCAGATGGCACGGGCCATCTCTGCAGCTCCAGCCTGACCAGCAGGCCGAGGCTTCCAACTGTGAGCTCATCTCCTTGGAAGACAAACAGGGTTTAGCCAACGCTGACCTTGGCCTGTTGACCTTCAAAGACGGCGGCTTCAGGAGGATGTTGTGGGCTTCCAGACCCCACGTGAATCATTCCTGACCCTTTGCCCTGGCTCATGGGAAGGAATCCAGAGTCCTGCCCGGCTGACCTCCTGCTGGTAAGATGGGAAGCAGGGGTCCTGACCACGACCTGAGATGATGTTGTGTCCCAGCCGTGGCCCACGTTCAAGACTTGCCTGCCAGCTCATTAATTCTCGCTGTCCTTTCAGAAGGAAGAGGACTGTGTCCTCTCTGCTGGGCCCTGAGCCCTTGCCACATGAAGCAGCTACCCTCCCTCACCCCAGAATCAGTCGGCACTGTGAGAAGATTTAGGGATGTTGTAAAACCAAGCATGCAAACACCTGGGGAATATGAAGCCATGTACCCTGACTCATAGAAAGCTGGAACTTTGGACTAAGCATTGCGTCCTGCTTAGAGCAGGGTTCTCCTGCCTGGAGTCACCTGGGCCATTCACAAGGTTGGGTGGGTATCTGTGGTGGGAGGCGCTGTGCTGCTGTGCCTAGGTTCAGGGGCATTCCCCAAAGAGGGACCACCTCTTCTTTCTTGGGTTTGTTTGGTTTTTGACTTTTCCTGCCCTGCGACAGGCTGGCCTCTGAGGAGGCCGATCCAACTTAGCTTGAACAATGCTGGATTTTTGCCTTCATTCAAAAGCCTCTAAAAAGAATACCAATCAGCTTAACTTCCCCCTCCAAGGTCTGGCTGTGCTTCATACACCTTTCAGTGACAGAATGCAGCAAATCTGTCCCAGCAAACGTGCGTAGGGCTTTGATCTGAGCAGGCAGTTTATGGACAGCTACAGCTGATGCCCAGAGGGGCCCAGCATGTTGCAAAATCAAACACAGCCTAGAAAACAAACTGCCCCAGACTGCCGTTCAGGTGGTATCTGAAGTAGTGGCAGTCAGAGCAAAACTTGTCAGTTAAACCAGAATCATTTTTTCATCATAATACCCACTGCCTGGTGCTTCAGTAATTTCTCACAATATAATGAGCCCATATACTTATATATCAATATTTTATTTTAAACCAGAGAATAAAATACAAGATGATTTTTTTTTGTATTTACTGTCTACTTTTCTGTTATATCGATTTGATAGCAACTAAAGATTGAGTCACAGAATGGTTGTTTTTTTAATTCATTTTTAAAAATGGCTTTTATTTTAATTGGTGACAAATGAGGAAGGGTGCATGGCTTGGGGAAATTCAGACTGAGGTCATCAAAGTGGCCCAGAATTTGGAAATTTTTATAAAACCCAACTGTTCAATTGGATTGGAACTGTGCTAAGGACAGGTTTTCAAGCCAGACTTGTGCCCAATTCCATTTGGTTCCTGGCAAAAAAAAAAAAAAAAAAAGCTTGAAGAATGGTATTTGGTTTTGTTTACTTGGCATTTTGAAAGCTGGTTCATCTGGCTCCCATCCTGGTTCAGGAATAAAGAGACCTGGACATGGGAACAGCAGTGTTGAGGGGGCTGCGGGGGGCTGGTGCTGGGCTTCTAGGTCTCCAGGGTGCCACCAAGGGTGAACAAGGTGCAAGATGACCTTGACTGTAGCACCTGTGCCCCCCAGTTGCTTTGCAGGCTGATCTGACCATCTTCCCTGGGGCCAAAGCACTCTCTTCCTCCCCATCCCAAGGAGGAAGGCCTTCCACATAAGCCCTGGGTCCAGCACTGTTCCTGAGCCCTGCAGCTGCGTCAGGGCGTCTCCTTGGTGGGAGAGAGGCCTGCCCTACTTGCCTGCAGGGAGAAGTGAATGCTGAAGCCTTCACCCCAGTGCTAATGAAAACTTGTCTCATTGGCTCGTGTTCTCATTGGGACACCCACAGCTTGATCTGTGGTGTTTGGGACTAGACTCTGAGCTCTGCCTTTGGATCACTCCATAGCACAGTAGGCAGCCGAAATCTAAGCTTATCTCCATAGGAAGTAAAAATGAATCGTTTTTAAGTGGGCTAGAAAAATAAACCTCAGTTCATGAACCTTTAAAAACTCAGAAATGATCAGAATTTTGTCTTTTCACTTAAAGTATAATTTCCAAGGTGCGAGATGCCCATTTTATACATTAGTTTTTCCATGCACAGTTTTCTTCCTCACTGAAGGCATTCATTGAAGCAGTGTTAGAACTGGCGGCCAGGCCCACCAAGAAAAAAAAAAAACAAAAAACATGTTTTTAAACAAAACACTATTCCCTAAGGTGAATTTCAAAAATTTGACAAATTCATACTTAGGATCAGTGATGGAAAGTTCAGAGTTGAAAGGGACCTGAGTGAAGGTGAAACCCAGCCCTTGCTTCCCAGGAGAGGACATGCAGAAGCAGGAGGTGGAAGAACTCACTCTCCAACCTGTGCGTGGGGACCCCCACCTTAATGTCCTGATGCGGAAACCATATACAGTGATGGAATGAGAGCTGACCATGCAAGACGGCCATGACCGTACTTCACCTACAGCATCTCTCTAACTCGCAGCAGGACAAAGCAGATGTCTCATTCACATGCAGGTGGAGAAACTCAGGCTCAGGAACATTAAGTAACTTTCCTGGGGTCACAAAAGGAGAGGGTGCTGGAGCCAGGCCAGTACATGGAATGACCTAAAAAGAGACAGTTTTAGTTAGTAGGAAATAAACTTTCAAAAATTTTAAGAAAAAAGCAAAGGCATACATCTAATATACAACAGAAACAAATGGAAATTTTAGAATCAAAAAAACACAATATATGAATAGAAAAGAAACAAATCTGACTATGGGTTAGGATATTGTTTCTTACAATGACGACAAAAACACAAAGAACGAGGAAAAGATAGATAAATTGGCTTCATCAAAATCAAAAACTTTTGTGCATCCAAGGATACCACTGAGGAAGTGAGAACACACAGATTGTGAAAAAATTTATGAATTCATATCTGACCATAGACTTGCATTTAGAATATATAAAAATACAATAAATAAAGAATTCAATAACAGAAGAGACAACCCAGATGACAGTGAGAGGTATTGTGTATACCTTTTCATTTAAATCATCAAACAGTTCGTACAGCTGTTGTGAAGCCCTCGTCTTTGTGGTCTACCCACCCTCTCTGAGTCTAGCTCTCTGGAAGGGTGTTCATCGGGCTACAGTTGGTCTCCTGGTCCTTTGTCTCATAGCTTTGAACGTAGGACATCATAGGTTCTATCTTAATCTGAATTTAAGACGTTCTTTTTTTAAAGAGTTGGAGATTCGGTCTGGGCTGCATTTCATCTGCTGGATGTGGGGCTTGGTCCTCTGTGCTTTCTTTCCTGGCTTTGTCAGAGGGGGTCCACAGCAGAGGTCTGGTCACTGTCCCAGCACATACTGCCGCTTCCGCAGAGTCCGACTTGTGTTTCCTCCACATCCTGACTGCTGCTCCCCGTGTCTCCACGGCCCCGTGCTGCAGTGGGAAGCGGCCCTGGCAGGAAGCTGTGAGTGACATGCTGGTGCTCCCTTCTCCCAAGGGCAGCCTGCGGTGTCTGTAGTCCAGTTCCTGAAGCTCAGCTTCATGTGTACTCCAGCTCTGGGGGCAGGCCCACCACCCATTCCCCTGTCGTGACCAGTCACAAGTCCCTCCTTCTTGATATTTAATCCTTCTCTTTTCAGTATACTTAATTAAGCATTCTGCCATGTTTAAGTTCTTTTATGGGGAGAAGTTGAAGATCAATAATAAACCAGCCAAACTTTTAGTCTATGATGTATTATTTAAAGAAGCATCAAGTTTAAAAAAAATCGAGGCTTTGTTTGTTTTATAAGTTAAAATAAGTACAGCCAAGTATGGTTAAAACAGGAAACTGAGTGGACCTTACTTACTCCATGCTACTGGGTCACATGGTAACCCTTAGAAAATTTCGCAGAATCCTCACTTTGCAAGTGTGGACATGCTGCAGTCAGCACTGTACAGGAAGGCTGCACAGCGAGAGGTGGAGGCGTGGTCCATTGCCTGGGTCTGCTTACTTCTGGATCACTGCTCTCTGTTCTCGGCTTGGTCTCCTGCCTTGATTGACATGTAATTTCCCTGTCACCTCCCGCTTCCATTCATTTAGAAAATGCACTGGGACCATAAAAGGTATATAATATGTAAGCTGTCTTCTGGTCCCCTTCAGGTTACCCCGCTATCCTTTGACTTTAGCAAGGGCAGTCTGAGCTTTGATGCTCCCCTAGTCACCAGAGAGGGAGAAGCCAGCAGTCCTGGGGTCCTCTTCCCCACTCCCTTCCAGCATCCCACCACCCCTGGCCCCGGCTCATCTGGCTCTCCCTCCGGCTCCAGCACTGGTACTAACAGGAAGGAGCAGGCTTGGTGTTCTGGAAAGCACAGCGAGGATGCGGGGTCCTAACACACAGGGGCCTTCCCCAGTTCTCCTGAGTCAGAACTCCACCCAAAGTGGGGGCTTCTGAGCCAGCCCAAAAGGCATTGGAGGTTGGAGTGCGTATTTCCCCACTCTGTTTCTGTCATGTCTCAAATTTACCCCATTGTAAGGCTGGCCTGGCTGTGGCCCTGTAGGCACTTGGCCACTTCCTCGTTCTGGGTGTGATAGCAGATGAGCTAGCTGCTCTGCCTGTATTTTCCAATTCCTCTTCTCCTACTTGACATCCTTCAATGTTCTGCAAGTGAAACCTCCCATCTGGGTCCTAGTGTGCCTCCTAAGGATAACGAAGCAACGTCTGGTCTGGAAGAACCTGGGTAAAATGGTCATGGAGGATCCCAATGAAAGTCAAGTCTCAGGATACCTGCAGGAGGGTGATGGATTCTTATTAACCTTATTCTTTATGGGTCTCAGAACTGTGCTTTTAAGAACGGTCCCACTTTTCACTCAGATGCCTGAACTTCATTAAATGAACGGTTGGAAAAGCTATTTTCCATGGACAGACTGTTCCTAGTGGAACAGAACGTTAAGAAGGGCCAGTGTCATCTGGGGGTTGTGGAGGTCCACAGTCCACCCTCGCTGTTTTCTGCCTTCAGCTCGACTCCCTTTGTTTGGGCAGAGCTGGCCCCATCTCACGGGCTCGCTCCCGACTGCCCCTTCTGCTCTGGCCCTCCTGCTCCGTGTCCTTGGCTGATTCTGTGTCCTCTACTTGACCTCTTGGAGCCCAGCCTGGAGCCCTCCCTTCTCTAGCTGTGGCTTCTTCCAGGGTGGGATCACCAGCACCATGGGCTGCATGTGCCATACTTCTCTGCCCTCGTCCCCTGAGTGAGCTACACTCAGTTTTCAAAGTGCCACCGACCACTCCTGAGGTTGGACGTGTCTTCGCTGAGCACTTGGCTGGAAGAGAACTCCTCACCCAGGAGGCCCCGTGAGTGGCCTCTGTCATGGTTTTCCATCTCAGTGAACATCTCCACTGCCCACCCCGTTGCTCAGACAAGAAGCCCTGGTCTCACTCGAGTTCCCTCATGGCCATCTGTCCATCAGTGAGTCCTGTCAACCCCATCATCAAAGTATGACCTCAGGGATTCATTTCACCACAGTCCCCAAACCAGCTGTAGCCTCCGTCCTCTGGGGGATCACTGAAGTCACTCCACAAAGGCCTCTGCTGCCACTCTCCCCGCTGCAAGCCAATCTTCATAAGGAGGCCAGATGAGTGTTAAAATGTGAATCAGACCAGGGCACTGCCTTGCTTGGTTTGGCCACCCTTCTGGTGTCCTTACGGTGTCCACGGCTGGTCTGATGGGCTGGCCTGGTGAGGACACTTTTCCTCATAGCACATGCGCTGGCCACATTGGCTCCCCGTCTACTCACACCTGTGGGCTCCCCTGCATTAGGGCCTCGTCCTGGCTGTTTCTACCCAGAGGTTCTGCCCTGGATCTTCCCTGGGCTCTCTCCTTCCTGTCACTGCAGTCGACCCCACGTCAAAGAGGTTCTGCAGCCCCTGCCCAAGTCCCTCCAGGCTTGTCATGCCATCTGCTCATCCAGCTTACCCCTAAGCATGCGTTGTGTTAAGACATTGAATGCAGAAACGCTGAGAGGTTAGCATTCCAGTTTTCTCCCAAGAGAAGAGAAGGACCTGGTTTATTGGTTTTGTTACATCCCCAATGTGCTTAAAGAATGTTTATGTATTATACAAAAATTTTAAAAATGAAAACATTCGAGTTTGAAAGTAGATTTGTTTCTTTCAGGATGCCAAGTAGGTGGTGTGCACAGTAATGAAATATCTGACTTGGGGGACCTGAAACCTAGCCAGAATTTACCCTTGCATAGGGTGACGCCGAGCTTCCGTTCACTCATTTACAGCAGTTTTGCCACTTTGTCATCTTTATAAGACTAGTGAGGAGACTGGTGAGAGAAGGCCTCAGCCCAGGAGGATCAGGAAGCCTGCCTAAGAATCATTGTTTTGTTTATTTTACATTGAAATAGCCAATGGGATTTTCTTTGGCAGTGTAAAGACGGTGAAATTCACATCAACCAGGCTGTGGTCAGAAGTGCCCGGTCTTCAGGACTGGCTGTGCGTCCAGGGCTGTGTGCGGTAGTCAGAGCAAGGCCATGTCCACATCCCCCAAGGCAACACCACCCAGAGCTTCCCCTGCAGCTATGGAGGACCTGAAAGGCGCTGTCCCCTGGGAGGCTGCTTGCCTTGCGCTGACCCTGGACAACTGTCGAGTTCCTTGCAGGACCCTCGGCACCAGCCCAGTGCCTGGTACAGGCTAGATGCTTAATGAGGCCATTCAGGAGGGAGATGAAGAACAGCTGCTAGTGTAAAAAATAGAAGAAGGATGCAGAAAGGGGATGAAAAGGAGAGTTGGAGAGACCATTTTTTGCTCATTTAGTAGAATTTCATGCACTCTGCAACTGGTTTCACAGTCACAGCTTTATTTTTCTCTTGAATGAGGAAGCCAACTCCTCAAGGAGTCTAGAACAGGCAGCTGTCCCTATGCTGGGACACAGCTTTCTGAGCTCACAGCCCAGCTCGTCTGGCTTTCTAGGAGATGGTTGCCATGACATTACGCAGGAGAACCTTCCCAGCGGTTCCCATGCTGAGGGCGCAGGGTGACTGTGATATTAAAAGAAGCATTTGTTGCTCTTTGTACTCAGAGGAAATCAAGGTGGACTTAAACTCATTAAAAGCAGGGCTGGGAACACATTTGCATGAGCAGACTGTGAATTCCAGCAGCTTCTCAAAACCTCTCTTCTCCCTTAGAAGAGAGCCAGAACTCCTCCTGAGCCTGTTTGTTCTTAATTAAGAGGAATCCTTTTGGGATAAAAAGGGTCCATAATGGCATTTTTACCCCACAACACAGCTTCTCAAATTTCACTTTCCCCCTAGTCCCCAAAGCTTCAAGGACAGCCCTTAAAGAAAATTTGAAGCGGGAATATGGAAAAACACAAAACAAATACAATAAATAGAGATAACAGTTTTAGAAGACTCTATGCCCAGATGAATAATGTGCAGCTCTGCCATGTGTGCTGTCTATGGTGCAACCATGAATATGAATAATCTGCAAAGCAAAGTGACAGTCACCATTTTCTAGCAAGCCTAGTGCTCTCTTCTCTGTACCTGAAGCCCAGCCATTCCTAACATAGATCTTATTAACAGTTTGTTATCGGTTTTAAAATTCTACTTTGTGAATACTGTTTCTAAGAGGAAAACAAATACGCTGTCCAAAGCCAGGTGCGCCTCGTTCAAAAATCCCCCTGGCTCCAACATTCTCCTTCTTTCTTTGGGCACTTAATTTTCAGCACAGGCTCGGGAGTCGGTGCACATGGCGTAACCTGCTTCGGTAGCTGATCATTCTGTCTCCGGGGAGGTTTTAGTGCAAGGCAAGGAGCACATGCCAAGCAGTCGCCTTGTCTTTCAGATTTCCTCTCAGTGAACACAGTCATTAAAGAATCGTAGCAGAGGAAACACTTTTGTAATGGGGCTCTCTCCAAATTCTGAGGATGGTGGCGTTATTGATTTAGTAATAGCTTCCAAATAATGACACAAAATGAGTTCTTCTACACTCCTGCTCTCCCCCTCCATAAAACCTTTATAGAACAACCGTGGCCAATAATAATAATAGATGATACTCTTTAAATTCAGTCTCCCACAGGTCACATAAAGTCTTTTGTGGGAGCTCATATATGGGTCCTTGAAGCCTTTGTTCTCTTTGCTGTCTGTAGGAACTGCTTTCGTTGTGGAGTCTGGGTGACCATGTGGAATCTCACACCAACAAGGGCACAAATGTCTATCTTAGTCCATCTTGCTGACCACACCCTGGGTGTGTAGCTGACCAGACATCCTAGATTTCAAACTAGACATCATGACATTTCACACACAGATGCACACACACACACGCACACACGTACACACGCACCAGCTCTACTCTCTAATATGTCCTAGGTGCAGGGTTTGTTCTTTGGTTTGGTCTGTGTACATTCTGAATTCTGTGTACATACTTTTTAATTTTTTTTCTTCCAATCAAATGTGGTGGAGCTTCTCCATAGAGATCTAGCGTGCAGAACCTGCAGGGCTGACTGTGGTATGGGTGGAGTTGGGAGAAAGGGATGAGGTAAAGGAGGGAGGTGGACAGAAGAGAGAGTAAGTAACCCGGCAGCTAGCCGGTGACCAGAGTCCTTACTATGGCAAGGTTTAAACCTCCCATTTTGCAGGTAGTTTGGAAAACATTGAAGGATCGGCCTGGAGTCTTGGGCAGTCAGAGTTGGGGCCGGGTTCTCCGGTTCGATCCAGAGCCTTTTCTTCCATGTGGCCTTCAGTTCC